ATGACGAATAAAGGGGTCTGGATTTTCGGTCACATTCTCGTGCATTGCAGCAATGTTTTTAGCTGAACGACGTAAACTAACACGAACTGGTGTTTTCAAACCTGCCACCGGCACATTTTTTTTTTAATTTACGAACATTTTTTCCAATTTCACTCTTGAAACTTGATCAGCATTCATGTTTATGATTGTTATGGCAATGTTTTGCTAAAGTTGTTAAGCTCAAATATTTATCGATGCGATAGGATAATTTCTATGGATATTTCATTGTCGTAGAACTTGTTATGAGCTTACTCAATCATCGTCAGATAATTCAAATAGGAAAACCGTGACATGTTTGAAGAAAATTGGATAAAAAATGAGGAAGTTGTACAAATTTTTTATTTTAAGCAGTACGAAAAACCTGATTTTTTCGCAGTTTTTTTTGCATTTTTTTGTGTGAAGCCAACGTCGCAGAAAAACCATCAAGCACACTACATAAACCTCGTAACATGAGCCATGTTTAGCTTTAACTGCAAAGAACATCAGCTCATCCAGTAAAAATGTGGGTCGCGTATAACATTGCCTTAGTTTTGAAGAAAGTCATACCCACCTTCAGTTTTATCTATTTTTCTGCCAAATCCTGGTGGGAGGCTGGAGATTGAAAAGTTGCCCTTGACCTACCTACACACGCAAACAGACAGACATACACGTGCACACAAATATTCTTATATATATATATATATATATATATATATATATATATATATAGAGAGAGAGAGAGAGAGAGAGAGAGAGAGATGTACCGTTGCTAATTTTGTTATAATTGTAATTTCACTATAAAAATATATTGTTGGTAGTTTTTAATAAAAACGTATTGCTGGTATTTTTACTATAAAATGTATTTTTATACTTTCCTGGTGTTTTGCTTTTTGTTTGGGTGGGGGGTCACTACTTCCCCATAGCTGGGACCCTAACAGGTGCTACTACTCCGAGGCAGGGTGAACCTGGGAAGAACAGTAATTAAGGGGTGGTTCTCAAATGCTTCGACCTCACGGAACCTAAAAGACTTTCAAAAAGAAACTTAACAAAAAAACTCTTCATATGTCCAGGAATATTTAAAAGAAATACAATAAAACGAACTTTTGAATGGGGTAGTTAAATATTTGATATAAACTTTAAAATAAAAAGTAAAGTCCTTGTCCCTTGCACCTTGTCTATATACAATATGTAAAGCTTCAGTAAATTATAAATTTTATAAGGCTGTGCAATAAGGCTTTCACTGGTCACTGGAATGAAAATCCAATTCTATGATTTTGAAATTTAAACCTAACTTTTTAAGCTTGTTTCCTCAAAAAATGATAATGATTTGGGAGAAAAAAACTATTTTGTGTCATCATTTATCATGTTAAACCCTAACTTTCAAAGTGAGTGCAATTTCACGGTTCCAAAATCAACCTGCCCTATTAGACACTATCTCCACCTGTGGCAGTTTGAGCAACTCACAAGATAAGACTTTCATTCATGATGCATTTTTTCAGGTTGATATTCCCATGAGAAGCCAGGGCTGATGGAAGATGGATGTTTTTATTGTCACCATTTCTAAACTGATTGCCAACTAATGTTAGAGAGCTTAGTCTACCTTGCCATTTAATGCATAGCTAGTGGGGAAGAGATGGATTCATATCTTTCTCAAGATTATATGTGTGAAAGTGAATGCAATGAATGTAGTTGGAATTCAAACTCAGCTTGTCAATTTCTCTTCCCTAACCATTAACCATTATACTACCTGCACATCCGATGTTTTATACACATTACTTTTTGTTTTATGAATTTTGTAAATTTCATGTAAGAAATTATACCATTGGGCGATATTTATCAATACTGTATGCTGTTTAGTAAATAATACTATTTTAGAATAGTCTGAACCGGTATGATACCAAATGCTCAGTGACAGATAAATTAGTTACTAAAAATTTGATAAAAAACATATTAAATATGTCATTATTTAGTTAATATTGTTATACTAATTATTTTAGTATTTTTAACATAAATTTGATTTAATTGGAATAGAATTTTATTAAACGATGTCTTTCAATGTGAAGTTTTTTTTTCCGATAAGTAAAAACTGTGTAAACAAAACTGTAAAAGATTACAAAAAAGCCTACTCAATGAATAAGATTTGTTAGATGATTTGTTAGATCATAATTAATAAAAACAAAAAATAGATAAAAGTATATATAACACCATAGTACTCCTAGACACAAATTATAAGACAATTTTTTTAAAATTTGCATTGTTTATTGAAATTGCACTACTGCACTCGATAACAAATTACATCATAATAAAGGCAAATTGTTCAGTATAAATTACCTTTGATGGTACAATGATTTAGTAATAATGTACTTGTGCCATGCATCTTGTCCATATACAATTTGTGAAGCTTCAGTAAATTATAAATTTTATAAGGCTGTGCTCTAAGACTTTCACTGGTCACCAGAATGAAATTCCAACGCTGCGATTTTGAACCGGAACTTAATCTTTTAAACTCGTTTCCTCAAAAAACGATAACAATTTGGAATAACATATTTTATATATTTATTTACCAAGTCAAAGCCAAATTTTCACATTGAGTGCAATACACGGTTCCAAAATCGACCTGCCCTAATACTAGATTTAGTTTGCCTTTATTTTTATTTTACTCGTTCAAATCTCATAGTTCACTGTGCTAATATTTAGTGTACATGAGTGCAAGTATGGCACAAGGCCAATAATGGGGAAAGGGGAAAGTTGGTCATCATCTGCCTTATACTAAAAGTTAACTAGCCACAATCACTGAGCCAGTCATGCTGCAATAATCCTAACGCCAAAACGACGCATTCTTACTTACCATTTTTTACTACAGCCACCATAATACCTCAGAGACTCCATAAAGTCCTAACTAGTCCTCATATGTACAACTTTGTCTGTGGGGTGTTGGGGGGGGGGCGGCGGAAAATACTAAAACTACTTTACAAATTTATAAACCCCAATGAATATTTACAATGGTAAACAAAATTTATTTACAAGAAACAAAACAAAGCAGTATTAGTAATAAAACTTCCCCCAATCACAGAAATATCAGTTAACCGGACGAAATTAATGCGGAATTTAGATAATGAAAAAAAATCACTCCGACGACCTAACACTCAGAGTCCATCCTGGGTATAATGATAAACTACATCCACGTCCTGGGTAAGACGTTAAACTACGTCCAACAGCAAGGCCTCTGATCAGAAGGTTTTGAGGAGCGTGGAAACCACCTCTTAATTGCTGGTGTTCCCAGGCCCACCCTGACCCGGGGTGGTAGCACCTGTTAGGGTCCCAGCTATGGCCAAATAGTTAACCCCGAAACTGGGGTGAAAATGGGTTTTAATACCAGGAATACTTTGTAAAAAAAAAAAATATTATCAGCAATAAATTTTTGTAGAAAAAAAAACTATTACCAGCAATACATTTTTGAGAGAAAAAATATTACCAACAATAGTTTAAAAAAATAAACTATTGCCAACAATACATTTTTGAGAAAAAAACTATTACCAACACTACGTTTTTGAAAAAATATTACAACTAATACATTTTTGAGGAAAAAAAGTATTACCAGCAATACTTTTTTGAAAAAAATTATTACCAGCAATACAATTTTGAGAGAAAAAATATTACCAACAATAAGTTTAAAAAAAAAACTATTACCAGCAATACATTTTTGAGAAAAAAAATATTACCAACACTACGTTTTTGAAAAAATATTACCACCAATGCATTTTTGAGGAAAAAAAAAGTATTACCAGCAATACTTTTTTGAAAAAAAATTATTACCAGCAATACATTTTTGAAGGAAAAAATTGTTACCAGAAATAGATTTTTGACAAAACAAAATATTACCACCAATAAAAACTTTGTCGGCATTAAATAACCCATTGAGGTTGATATGCCGTAAAACACAACAAACGAAACGAAACGAAACGAAACGAAACGAAACCAAACCAAACCAAACCAGACACTCAAAGAAACACAGCCTCGCAACAAATTTGAAAAATCACACCGGAAAAGCGAAAGGCATATAGCATCTCTAGTTCATTGTGTTAATTCTTTCAAAAAACAATAATTTTATGACGTAACAATAATTTTATGACGTAACAATAATTTTATGACGTAACTATAAACTTACGTACCAAGATCAGAAACTAAATGACAATATAACGCCAGTCCGGCTCGCCTAACGTGTTTCAACATAAGACTTCGCTAAAAATTTCTCTAGGTTAGGCAAGTTGAAAACAAGTTTTTTCGTTTCATAAACAAAGCGTCGAAAGGCATACGTAGATAACAAGTCGGAAGAGTTGAAGACGTTTGATAGGGGAGGTATTGGGAGCTTCTGGTCAGAACGAAAGCAATACAAATCAACAGGTTTAAATGCTTTATTTTGGAAAGTCGGAGGCACAGACATATATATTTATATATATATATATACATAAACATAAGAAGAATTAATTTACAGAAAGAAACAAGAACCATCCCCTGGGATACGATAACTTATTCTGGCTTCTTTCTGGATACTTTTTCTTGAACTTCCTTGGCTTAATCTCAAGTTTTGATCTCAGTCACGGGTGCTTTTCTATTCTTCATTCGCCAAAAACCCGGACCCCTTCTTATCTAAAAACTTCCCGGTTTATTCATGTCCATTTTCAGCAATATAGCAGTCCTAGTTCAAAAGGGAGGGTCAGTATAATAGTATTTATTTATTGTTGATTTTCGAGGAATTTGCCATTGTATGAGAACGGCAAAAAACTATAAATCAAAAAGGATAAAGCTCTGTAGATAAAACCATGGCGATAAAAACAAAAAATGGCGATAACTTGGATACCGCCTACCAGAAGCCATTTTTCGATAAGCACACCTCATCTTCTTTCACTGACTGGTGGCAAATTTCAGGCTTTGCGGATATCGACAACTTGATCTTTTTTCGTAACTCGGAAATCGTTTCTATGCTCGACGCCCAAGCAAAGGATTCAGAGTCGACCTTTTTTCCTGATGAAGAAGCTACGAACTCTTTCGGTACGGACTCTGATAACAAGTCAACGGCCTCCTGTCTTTCTCTTGGTCCCGTAGAACTGAACCATGTAGTGAGAGCACCTAGACCTTCTTTGATTACAGAAAGCCAAGATGACAATTTCTTGAGTCGCGCTTCTGTATTCAGATCATCAGAGAACCCCAAAATATGCCTGTCTCTAACTGGACCTTGTAGAGTGGTTCCTGCCGACAGGTACAAGGCTCGTGAAACAAACTCTCTGCTCATTTTCGGAAGTTACGAGCCAGTTCCGCTAGTTCTTTTCCCGACAGAAGCCATGCCAAAAGCCCAAGACACAGTCATTCAACAAAATGTTGGAGGTAGCTGGAAAAATACTATGCAAAGCTTGCGAAATTTTTTCTGTTCTTGTTTGTGAGAACAAAAAAAATGAAGGTTGCTTTGAAAATCCAAAGAACTTTAAAAAGTTTTTTTTTATTTAATTTTGTCTTGATTGTCTCCAAGATTTCTCTTAAGAAGTTTCATAATTACTTTTTCTTTCTTTCTTTCTTTCTTTCTTTCTTTCTTTCTTTTTTCTTTCTTTCTTTCTTTCTTTTGTTCAACCAATCTTCCTTTATTTTTTACCTATCTTTCTTTCTTTTTTCTTTCTTTATTTTTTAGCCAATTTTCTTTCTTTCTTTCTTTCTTTCTTTTGTTCAACCAATCTTCCTTTATTTTTTACCTATCTTTCTTTCTTTTTTCTTTCTTTATTTTTTAGCCAATTTTCTTTCTTTCTTTTGTTCAACCAATCTTCCTTTATTTTTTACCTATCTTACCTTATCCATCATTCTTTCTTTCTTTCTTTCTTTCTTTCTTTCTTTCTTTCTTTCTTTCTTTCTTTCTTTCTCCTGTCCTTCATCCCTCCGATTTTCTTAAATTTCATTCATTTTTCTCTTTCCGTTTTTCTCATCTTTCTTTCTGCTACTGACTGCTAGACTCTATGCGTACAATATTTTAATCTGTCTCGGAATTTACTTCCATTTCTCTCACACACACACTTACAAACACACACACACACACACACACTCTCTCTCTCTCTCTCTCTCTCTCTCTCTCTCTCTCTCTCTCTCTCTCTCTATATATATATATATATATATACCAGGTCATCCCATAAGTTCTGACCGAATTTTAACTTTTGTTAAAATGAACGAAATTTAAAGAGTATTTTATAATGTCTGATAGAGCTGAACATTATTTTTATGTTTAGATGAATTTAAACTGATCAAATTTTATTTCAGAGAACAATAAAATTAAATTTTTTTTGGTTAAAACCCTGCTAACATGGAAGTACCCAAGAATCATTTGAGGCACATAATGCTTTATGAGTTCAAGAAAGGAAACTCAGCAGCCGAAGCGGCTAGAAACATTCACTCAGTTTATGGAGAGGAATGTGTGAATGAAAGAACTTGCAGAAGATGGTTTGCAAAATTCAGAGGTGGAGATTTCACCTTTGAAGATGAAGATCGAACCGGACTTCCAGTTGAGTTTGATGAAAAGCTTCTTAAAGCAGCCCTTGAAGAAAATCCTGCTTTATCAGTTGAGGACAGCGGCTTGGTAAAAGGGAAGGAGCCCAGCCACAACCGAGAAGGGAACTTCATGGGCAAAAGGTACTTCTTTCAATCTGGTGGGATCGCCACTTTGAATTCTTACCACCTAAATGTAACAATTAATGCTCAAATATACTGTCAGCAATTAGAGCGTTTGAACTAAGCTTTGAGGAAAAAAAAGACTTGCTCTAGTGAATCGAAAAGAGATGATGTTTCATCAGGATAATGCGGGACTCCACACAGCAAGAATCACGTCACAAAAGATCGAAGAACTTGGTTGGGAGAAAATTCCTCATCCATCTTATTCTCCCGATCTTGCTCCTTCAGACTACCATTTGTTTCGTAGCTTACAGAATCATTTGGAAGAAACAGCTTTTGTAACACAGGAAGAGGTTAAAACTGACATTTGCGAGTTCTTCGAATCAAAGCCAAAAGAATTTTACAGTAATGGAATTAGCAAGCTTGTTAATAGATGGAAGGAAGTCATAGATAACCAGGGAAAATACATGGTTGATTGAATCTGTAATTAAATGTAACATTTGGTCACTTGTTTTTTTTATTCAAAATTCGGACAGAACTTATGGGATGATATATATATATATATATATATATATATATATATATATATATATATATATATATATATGTTTCACTTGAATTAATTATTTAATGTCAGTTTCTGGACGATGACATTAATATGATTTAATAATGCAAATAGAAATGATTAGAATTCATTGATATTAACTTTTTTGAATCTGATCAATTTTGTTTTAAAAGTTTCACTTGAATTTTATTGGCTGTTTAGACAAATTATATCATAGACCATCAAAATCAAATCATTATTTTCATTTTACAAGTTTTTTTTGTTCACAATTCTCTCTAAGAAACACGTGGTCTCCTTACCTAGTTTTCTTTCCTTACCTCGCTTCTGGGTTTGAAAATTCCATTCCAAAAATCAATGTGATTTCGGATAGCTGATAGGTTAATCAAAGAATCTTTTTTTTCTAAAACAAACCACCTTTTAAAGTCTATGCCTGTGAGTCGGTTCAAGGATTTGCCTATTATACACACTGGATTTCCACTAGTTAATTCGGATTTAATCTTCTGGATAATCTGAAATCTAACTTAATTTTTCGAACATAATTTTTTTAATTCATTTCTTAATTTTTTTAGATTTAAATTTTTTTAAATTTCATTTATTTATAAGATTTATTTGTTTAAGTTTATTTATTTCATTTATTTATATTTTTAGATCATTAATTTTTTGAATTTTTAATTATTTTAGTTCTTTTTATTTGTTTATTTTTTATTTAATTAAACTTTTAAATTTTAATTAATTAAAAAATTATTTTTTAATTAATTAAAAAAATACAAAATTTTTTTTTCTCCATTCCTCTTCAAAACGTTATAAGAATAGTGAATATTTTATTTCACTCTTCTCATCTCTGTGTCATCAAACTCTACAATAATATCTGTTATCAACCGAATACCGCTAATCCTCTCCGTGGATCTGTTCATTCTGTACAAGTGGGTTCACTATTTATCGTATTACATTTCTGCTGCACCTTGCTGGTACCCTAAATATTTGGCCTTGTGCCAAATTACCGAAACTGAGGAAAAGTGAGGTTTGCTTAGTTGGCAAGATGTTTATATGTTCTTAGTTGTGTACCTGTTTCGGCATTTACCCTTCTTGTCGGTTGAGCCGGCTCCGTGGTAAACTTGCTTTTTAATCCCCGCACTAAATATGTATTAAAATTTACCGAAATCGTCATATTTCCGAGTAAATGTACATGCTGAACTCGAAATAACAATTAAATTATGATAAAACCTACCGTTTTGAAGTTATCGACAAGAAAAAATCGTACTTAGTTGCGGTCATTCGTCCGCCATTACTGGCATTCTTTTTATTGCACTTCCGGTCGCGTAATCATAATTTTTGGCCTATTTACTGCTTTTACTGCTCTTACTCGTCGAAATTACAACGCACTATCGCAAAGCAATGACAAGAGAAAACTTTAAACAAAAACAAATTAAATAATACAATAAAAGCTTAATTGTTAATTCGAGTTCAGCATGTACATTTACACGGAAATATGATGATTTGGGAAAATTTTAATAGATATTTAGCGCGGGGATTAAAAAGCAAATTTACCGGCTCCGTCAAACGAACCTGCTGCACCGGAACGGAAGCTGATTCTGCTTAAAAATCCATTAATTCTTGAGAACATACTTTGTTCATTCGGACCTGAAAATCCACCGTAGGAGTTTCAGTGGGAATTTGAATTGAAAAGCAGAATCTCCAGCCGTAACACACACTTTTAGGATTGTGCAATCCATTTTGAATTGAGAGTTTCCTTCTTCTAGACTGATTGCCACACAAGGACAGAGTAGACCTGGGAACAATAGCAATTAAGAGGTGGATCTATGCTCCTCAAAACCTCTTAATCAGAGGCCTTGCTGTTGGATGTAGTTTATCGTCTTACCCAGGACGGCTGTTGGACGTAGTTTATCGTCATACCCAGGACGGCTGTTGGGCGTAGTTTATCGTCATACCCAGGACGGCTGTTGGACGTAGTTTATCGTCTTACTCAGGACGCGGATGAAGTTTATTGTCTGTTGTAGAGTAGTTTTTACAGTGGAGGCTTGTATTTCAATAAGTCGGTCCTAAAAAGGGCCCGACGTACAAAACGTTAGGAACTTGAAATAAGAGTTAATGACGCAGCAATCTAGTTGTGATGGTTGATACTTCAATGTCCAACATCGACTGACTCACTCAACACCACTGTGCTCAACTGACGACCGCTACTACTACTACTACTTATTATTATTATTATGTGTGGGAGAGTCTATTACAATAGAATAGCTAATGTTCTGGTATAACATTGTCGTAACCAGGACGGCCGTAACTATAGTAAATTTAAGCCAACTTACCTAAAATTCAATAAAATATTAGATTACAGAGAATATTTTCCTACATTTTTAAGATTATTGGGCAGTTAAAAAATTATATAAAAAAGGCGCTCATGTTGATTTTTTCCTCGCGTAATTTTTACAGATAAGTCCACCGTAGAAAAAAATTAGATAAACTTCTATCAGTCAAGATGTCAAGACCTTAAATAAACAGCAATCACTGATAGATTGGACGTTGCTTTGCTGTTAAGTCCTTTTTGGATATGTGGTCTAAAGCACTTCTACTTTGAAGATGGTTCAAATAGTAGTGCGATTAAGAGCTTGTCAACACCTCGTGAATCACCTGACGAGTGATTTACGAGGTGTTGACACGTTTATTATTGTTATCTGGAGACTTTATCTGTTTAAACATAATTTAAGAAAATGACGGGTGAACGCTTGTTATGTAATTTTTAAGTGCCTAGTAACGTTAAAAAATGTTTTCTTCCTTGTAACTTGCACAAACCACCAAATTTGTGCATCACTAATATTTAGTAAAATTTAGTTTTCTTTTCTTTTAATAAAATTGTTTACGTTTTATATGTCACTGAGTATTTCTCGTCATTTTTACGGTGTCCTATGTCGCTTGATCACCATTCTCCCCAATCTCTTTTAAGCGACACCCCTCCCAAAATATTCATTAATTTAAATAGTTTTCTTTTCTTTTTTCCTTTTTTTTCATGCAATTAAGTATTCATTCAACTATCCAGACTTTTCAGTGATCCGAACAAATTGTCCCAATGTGTCTGGATTATCGCTGAAGTGCTATATCTATTTTAAATGGAAATATTACAGTGATACCTCGACTTATGTCGTTTCGAATTACGTCATTTTCGAAGATACATCGGTTTTTCTTAAATATTATATGGAAACATAAAACTCGCCCTAGGGTGTTTTACTCGAGATTACGTCGGCCGTTAAAAATATTAGAAACGACAAAAGACTGAAATAACAATAAACGCATATAAAATTATATTCAAATAAATTTGAAATATAATATTATGCATAATATATATATATATATATATATATATATATATATATATATATATATATATATATATATATATATAATTATTTTTTATAAAAAAATTTATAACATAAGTATGTTATAAAATCACTACAAAAATAGCCATTTTGTTTCAACACAGACTCTGTGTCTTATCAAGTGATGATGTTGAAAATAAAATAAATGGTTTTAAAAGTTTCATATATGTGTGGGTGTGGGTGTGGGGTGTGTGTGTATGTGTATATATATGTGAGTGTGTGTGTATATATATATATTATGTGGGAAGGTATGGTAGATTATAAGTGAAAAGGTTAATAATTGTTGCTGTATATGTGTATGTGTGTGCCTATATATGTATGTGTGTATGGGTG